GCCTCCATCCATGAGCGGCTGGTATGGGCCTTTACGTTACAATAGGGGGGACCTATTGTCCATCCCCCTGGCCACAACCCACACGCGGCGAGTGTGGACCCTATTGTCCTCCCCCCGGCACCCACCCATGAGCGGCGGATGGGGTCAATAAGTTACAATGGGGGGAGGACCTATTGTCAACCCCCACCGGCCCTAAACCATGGGTGACAATAGGGGGGAAGAACCTATTGTGTGTCCCCTGCAGCCCCACCCATGGGTGACGGGTGGGGGGCTTAATATAAAAATTACCCCCTTCCCCAAGGTGACTAGGGGATCCCAAGCCCCTAACCTCCTTCTGAAATAAAAGCCTATCTACCCCCCACACATAAAAATAGTGAGGGGGGATCCAATAAACCTAAATACCTAGGCTCAAGATTTCAGAGCACTCCATTTGGCCGCTCATGCGGGGTGGGGCAGTAGGTCCCCCCCCCTATTGTATCTTAGGGTCCCTACCCTTTGCTCATGGGTGAGGGCCGGGGGAGGGGGGGAGGAGGTCCCCTGTTTAGTTGAGTGCCCGCCACTCTTGGTGCATGAGTGAGGGCTCAGGGGGGCCACTTTGTTCCCCCCTTTTACTAAAGGTCAGTTTATTAAAGTAGTGTTTTTTTTTGTTGTTTTTTTTTAAACAGTGATCAGCCCCTGTTTAGTAGACATGCCCCTACTATGCCTATTACTTAATACTAAGTAATCTTTACCAATTTAGGTCTTTCAGCCTTTTAGTAGATAGCTCTCTACTACCATGGGAATTTAATTTGAATTCAATTCCGATCCAAATAAAAGTCCTAAATTGCGTCCTAGCACGAATGGACAAACTGTTCTCATTCTGTTAGCATGAAATTCGATAGAATGCCAAATGAAGCAGCAGGAGGATGGTGAGTGTGACAAACTACCCTTTACCACTGGCTTTTTATGTGACAAACTGCCTTTTTCCCCTGGCTTTTGGAGGAACCTAATTGTCAGCCTACTGCCTTATGACTATGGCTCGGGGGGTGTATTGCCCTTTTAGAACAAGGTCCCTTTTTAAACTGTGTCCCCAGACTGTTAAAATGTGAGCACTGCTGAACCTTACCTTCTTTGCAACTTTGACACTTCGAGGGAAATCGAAGTGCGTTCGAATATTCGTTAACATGGAATATTTGCACGAACGGCACCAGTTCGTGAATTCAAATAGAACTTAGCCTTTTTACTGTGTTAAATAGACTGACCGCACAGCCTAAATCTATGGAACTATTTTGAGCAGGAAAGACATGCTTGCGGTCGGTCAAATATGAATTCCAACTATCTTTCGAACCACCGGGCCAATTCGGATGATTTTTGAATATGTTTGTTCACTGATTATGCTGGTTCAGAAAATATTACGTTTATGGAAATTGCATGTATAGTTTTGAAGTTATGAATATTGGGTAAAACTGTATATTCTCTGCCTGTGATAATCAGCTTATCCCGTTGTGTTCAGTAATTATATCACAGGCAAAGGGGAGGGTTTGTGTGCCTTAGCTGGGAGTGTCTGATTGTACTGTAATGTGTTGATTGGCTGTTGTAACCCTGTGTCCTGTGTACCACAAGGTCCACGTGGGTGGTAACCTTGTGGGAAAACCTGTATAAACGAAAGTCCTGTGTGCTCCTTAAAACCAGTTCTATTTGACCCTCAACTCGCAGCCTTGACTCGTGTTTGGAGGGGACAGCTATAATCACTACAGGGATTGCTATGCTCTGCATACTCCCTTAGCTTCACTGAGCTCTTGTAAGAGCTTCTTCCTGTTCCTGCTTTACTCTCAGAAGGAAGAAAGGTTCACCCACTGGAACCTGAAGCCTTGCCGTAGGTCCAGGGTGGGTAGGAGACGGTGAGACCCCAACCAAGCTGCAGCGGTTCGAGGGGTCTGCAGTGCTGATGGTCCTTGGTGAGTGCTAGGAGCATCCTTTCTATGGTCCAACCCTCAGCTAGCCTGGGGCAACTGTAACAGTGAGAATTGTAGGAAAATTACTTTGACCACAGAAAATGGAACGCACTTTGCTCCTCCCCTGGATCAAAGTTGGGTGAGTATAGGAAAAATACATACGACAAAAAAGTCCTACTTTGTCTTATATTTTTAAGAAAACTAGAGCAGATAGGCAGAAATGAAGAACAGATCCTGAGAGAGGGAGAGAAGAGGAAACGATTGTGGAAAGGTAAGTTCGGCATGACAGTACTGCTCTTAATGTACTTTTGCTTTGTTTCTTAGAATGTTCCATCTTTTACTATCACATGAGCTCTATCTAATGAGCTCTAAATATAGTATTAATTGATGTAATCAAAGCACGCTTCTCATGTGTATTTCTGCACTCATTTAGCACTTTTTATTGGCTCCTGCACCAAGAGTGCTCTGTTTCACGAGGCCCTGATTTAATGTATTAATTTATTGATAAGAATTAGTGTTACCCTCTTTATACAAAACCTTTGTTCCAATGGGAAACAATGGGAGTAAGCTCTAAACAAGCATGTTTCAAGGTGTTGTTTCTATTAAGGCAGAAAAATAAGTCCATGGCAAGGCTGAGATTTTCGAGTGATTGATCACGTCTTTCTGGAATAGGTATCAAACTAGTTCTAAAAGGCAATATAGGAAATTACAAGCTGCTAATGCAGACTGTAAATTAGCTTTGTGTTGTCAGAACCATTCTTGTAATTCTCATATTCCTATCTGCTAGAATCAAACCATTACATTTTACCTACAAATATTGCAGCAGTGGTGGAAGGAATGGCTGACATATTCATCCCCTCTGCAGAGATGCAGTTAGACAAAATGAACCCCAAACAGGGAAAACAGGAATGTAGCTGTCGGGGTTGCATTACAATTTATTTTGGTTTCCAATGCCAGTTCATCATACATAAGTTTTACATTTTTCTTTCTTTTCATATAATGCTGTTTGATAAATAACTAATGTGTCCACTTCCATCATTGTAAAATACTTCATTCTCCCTAGTAATTGCAGCAGCCTGGTTGACGTCATTTCCTGTTTCCCAGCGGCATCAGCGGAGGGAGCAGTGCTGGAACAGCACGTAAGTCAGTGCTCCCTCACAGCCCTCCAACCCACCCACCCACCAGTGCCACCTTAACAACATTATGGGCCTATGGGCAAAGCAGTGCACTGGGGCCCTGCCTACACAACCACTCACAGGAAAATAAATATTAAATTATCTATAAAATTAAGCTTATATTTATTGGTACCTCCAAGAAATACAATATATTCATACAATATAAACACACAGACTGCTGAATATACACACACAGACTGCTGAATACATACAGGCTGCTGAATGCATGTACACAGACTGCTGAACACAAAACACACAGACAGACAATGACGGGTGAGTACTATAGACTATAGAGTACTATAGACCTACAGTTACCTTCACTCCTCCACAGAATGCTGTGTCTGAGTGTTGCCTTGGCAATGCGCTGCAACGCTCAGACCAGCTGGGTCCTATCTCACCCCCTCTTACCAACGAAGGGCTTTTGGGCCGTTGAGGAAGATCTTTGATCTCCCCACTAGCTCGAGAGGGACCTAAGCAAGTAAGTAGGGTTGGCTCTCCGCGGGCCTGCTGGGGAGATCAAAAGATCTCACCTGTCGGCCTGGGCTTGTGGGGCCTCCTGGAAACTCCCCACCGTGCCCATGCGGAAAGAAGGCCCTGGCCGCAGGTCTATAAACCCTCCCTTCTGTTCCACCATGCTTATCTACACAGTATTTCCAGTAATACTGTTGTTCATCCGGAAGCACAGCACAATTTTGAGGGAGGTTTAGTTATGAATAAACTGAACTTCACCTTTGATGAAGCCACTCTACATAGAAAGTCTTGCTTTGCAGAGATTTATAGGATAGAGGCCCCAATATAAAACATTTTGATAAGCTTTTCAAATGAGTTAATATTTTTGGATATACACATTTAAAATGATTCAATATTTTGAAAAATATTTAAATATTTAAAGTTTTTGATATATTTTTTTATTTTTTTTTAAACTATGTATATATGTAAACCAATAAAAATAAAGTGCGCTGTGCCTTTAAATAATGATTTTGATTAAAAATTTCTCTTGCAAGATATATTTTTTTGTAAGTGCTTAACAGCAAAAAAAAAGTGCTTATGCAACATTGTGAAAACACACATAAACCTGTGTATAAGTGCAAAGAACAATAAGTGCAAACCAACAATACTTTTGGCAGTGCTTATGGTGTCATTTCACTCCAAGTTATTATACAGATAAAATATTATACTTGCATTATGTAGAGTTCCATATGAAAAAGAAGAAAATAGAGAAACATAGCATGATATCGTTTTAAAATAAATAATATCTTAAAACCAAATATGTTTGACACACTCACATGCTTTCTATAATGTAATGTTGTTTGGTCAGTGCTTACTCCAGTGCATTTAAAGGCTGGGCATATATTTAACCTTTTAATGACCATATGATGGTCTATGTGCAGCGCTATGGAATTTGCTGGTGCTATATAAATAATACTAATAATATGCCATCTTGCAGTGCAGGGCTTTAACACCATATGATTGCATAGACTGTCACACAGTTAAAGTACTAACGGGGAGGGCCTGACTGCAATGGCACCCAGACATGTTTTCTAAGAGCTCCTGAGGAGAAACTCCACAGATCTCACATTTTGGCTGATTTAACTGCACTTCTGCAGCTGACAGCGACTGACCTGATTACGACAATGGCAGACCGGTATGCGAGGGCTCCCCACAGTGTATAAGCTTGATCCGACAGCTGTTCCATGATTGAGGCCTAGCTGGCACTGAGGAAGGGAGAGGCAGCCGCTCTCCTGAACTGGCATAGGCAGGGTTTGTCAGAACAAAGCAGGTGCCCAAACTCCCCCTCTAGACTGGTGGGGGTGATCCCGGTCCCCACCCTGAAGGACCTCTGTGTGTCAGTGCCGCAGATACTCGTGGCTCAGATGGCGGTGCTTGCAAGATGACGGACACCACGTGTGCCCTAAACTCCATGAGTGAAGCACCTAACATCCTGCAGTGGCTGGTTGCCCTATTTGACACCTTCTGGGAAAAGCTGAGTGACAGGATGTCGCAGCCAGTTCCTGAGATCAAACCACCTCCACACCTGTTGCGACGCACACAACGCCGACCATACCGCTTGAGGCGATGGAGGCCCTTTCGGAACACCTCATGAAAAATTTAAGGGCAGATCAGTATCGGAGCTGCATACTCTTCCAACACGCAAGGGGAAACAGAGGAGAAAGGCAAGCTGGAGAGGGCAGCACCTATTTATTAGGGAACCACAGGTGATGCAGACAACCCTGGCAGGGATAACCTCATCTCAGGAATAGGCTGAACATAAGAGTTGAACTCATGCTGCTTGACATACATCACTTATTGTTAAGCTACCCTGTGTTTTATCCCATTTTGCCCAGAAGATAGCTGTCCTAATGCTACATATGTCCTTTCATGTCCATTGAGCTGCCTGGGTGGTACACCATATTCATGTGTTTTTTCACATAGATCCATCATACTTACTCTATCACTGTTTCTCCATTCATATTAAACCTGTTTACTTCATTGTTGCCTATTCATGCATGTTTAGCCTGTTTACCCTACAAAAAACAAAACAAAAACTGTGCTGTTACTCTAATATGCCATGACAATAATTGTCTCTCCTGTGCTTGCTACTGCTGTGTGGCACTGCACGATTTATGTTATCTGTATTCTCGTGCACAACAAAAATAAAGAATTATAAAAAAACAAAACATTTTTAAAGTACTAACAGGGGTTAAATCTTTGTTGGTATCAAGGAACCCGGTTATTTTTCGAGACCTGAGGGTCCCCTGTGTCTCCTATCTGTTTGCTATTTTTCAGTCTGCCCCCAGCCTGCAGAATTAACAATGGGACCACAATTGTGAAATGCTCACAGTCAATGTTGCACATGGCCCTTTAAATTTATTTAAATATCATTATTCCAGGAGCCACCATCTTCTAATACCTGGCAATAATGTAATATCACTGTCTTCTTCTACCCAGAGTATGCAATGGTAACTAATTCAGATTGCATGCTTAATGGAGACCAGTACAATATGGTCATGAGGAATGATATGAAATGATCTCATGAAGCTACAAGGATGGACTGGATGGCAATGTGAGTATGCTGGGAGGATTTTACTTGGCAAAGGAAGTAGAATTTGCCTTAAAGGGACAGTTCGGGCATCATAAGGCACTATGCAGGACAGGCAGCCGCAGAACTTCTAAATCGCTGCACGTAAGAAAATTGGGGGTGGGGTCAAGCAATAGCACGGGTGGAGCCAAATCAACAGTGGGGCGGAGCTAAGCACAGCCTCCACTTGCTGCTATTACTTCTGCACATTGAGGGGAAGCAGGAAGGAGTCCCTACTTCCCCAACAACTACACACAAGGGACTGAATCTACTCCTCCTCCAGCCCAAGCTGACTGTAAGTAAGAGAGAGAGAGAGTGTGTGTGTGTGACTGTCTGCCTGTAACTGATCCAGACATAGGATCCGCCCCAGGTGCCAAATACTCTAGAACTAGGTACACTAGCACTGACTTGCGCACTATTCCAAATCCCTATGCACATTTAAAGAACTGCAAGTTTTTTTCTATAACTTAAAAGACCATTAAAGTATAAACAACCCTGCCACATCAAGGCAAAATATCTTTGAGTGAGTCCTACGCTTGAAAATTCACCTTGCTGTTTTCAGATAAAAGACACACCTCTATTTGTATAAACCCCTACACCAGAGGTGCCTGAAAGGTCGATCCCCAGATGTTGTAGAACTACAACTTCCATGATGCTTTAAAAGCCTTTAGAATGACAAAGCATCATATGAGCTGTAATGTGTGTGTGTGTATGAATGCAGTGTGTGTGTGTGTATGAGTGCAGTGTGTGTGTGTATGAGTGCAGTGTGTATGTGATGCAGAGCCTTGGTGGGAGGGCATTTTTATTATTTTTTTTAATTATTATAAAAAAAATTTATTTTAATATTATTTAAATGTTTTATTTATATTTTTTTCCGTTCCCCCTCCCTGGTTGTTAGCTGGCCAGGGAGGGAGGCTCTCATTCCCTGGTGGTCCAGCGGATGGGATGTGCAGGAGGGGGCTAGCAGCGAGCTGTAACTTACCTTTCCTGCAGCTCCTGTCATCTCCCTTCTCCGGTCCGGTCAGCTCCCTTCTCCTCCACTGTAAGTCTAGCGGCCGCGCGGAGCATTCCCCGCGGCTCTCGCAAGACTTGTAGTGGAGCTGACCGGACCGCAGGAGAGAGAGAAGGGAGCTGACAGGAGCTGCAGGAAAGGTAAGTTACAGCTCTCTGCCAGCCCCCAACAGGACCACCGGGCTTGTAATGAGCCCGGCGGTCCTTGTCTGTATTATGGCAATGTAAGTTGCCATAATACAGACATTGACTCGAGTATAAGTCAAGTGGGGGTTTTTCAGCACATAAAATGTGCTGAAAAACTCGACTTATACTCGAGTATATACAGTACCCCTGGTCAGATAAATTCACTCAGTTCCAAACATGTACATACACTTAAAAATATTTACATACATATGCTGCTGGTGTGCGGCTCCCATTGGTCCAACAGTGGTTAGCGGCTTGTGCACATTACTGGATCCTCTTGCTCTCCTGGGAAGAAGTGCTCTGATGTCACAGTCTACAGGATACCTTTAATACAGTAAATCTAGACCCTTGTCGGTCATATTTGTGTGGAGCAGTAAGTGTGTATGTGTGTCATTTCCACTTCCCAACTTACTCTCACTCTTTTCCTTGTCATTGCCCTCAATGCCACTTTTCTACCCTGAGCCTCCTTCTCTCTTCTCTCAGCCACCAATGCCACTTCATCTTGCATGCTCACCATACCCCATACCCATGCCACTATTATTTGTTTGTTTTTCAAGGGGAATCCTGGTCCTGCTTTTTAATATTATGTTTACTTTTTCACTGTATTTAACAGATATGTTTTAGTAAGACCTAAAATACAATATAGAAACTAAATATCTATCCTAGAACTTAGACTCATTTTGGATCCCTGTCAATCACCTTTTCTGCTCCTGAACATAGTCAGTTAAATTCAAACAATGTTTCTGTTCTCCCAGTCATTTGGATGGCTGTGCCTGGACAGAACTGGATTGTGATGTCACTAGCTAAATCTTTAATATACATTTTAAAAGGAAATGAAGTGTCACATAAAAAGGTTAACACAAGTTATAGGTGATTTCCAATGTTTTATTCAATGGTGTAATTTCCAGAGAAGTGACAATTCTGCTTTAATTATGTATGTTCTCTTTTTGATGTAAAAAGAGTTCATGCGATTGTTAATTGTGTGAAAAGCTGTCAAACAATTTTATGCTATAAAGCTAATTCCCCTGTGGGATTGATATGGTAATATCAAAAAGTTAAAGCATATACTATTTTTTTTTTTAATGGAAACTTTTGAGTTATGTTTTTTTTATATGCGTAAAAAAACCTCCACCACTATTAAATAAGCTAAGACGTGTTGATAAAAACTGCTGAAACAATGTAACAGTTTTCAGAGGACAACTGATAATGTGGTGTGAGGGAAAGAATAATTTGAATGTACATATCAGGTAAATCCATCATCATTTCCAGATGAATTGTCAGAAAGATTCCCACTTACATCTTTTCAGCTTTATTAAATTGACCTTAAGGGCTAGTTTCATTAAAGTTTAGAGGATGTAAACACCGCACAGTAACTATCTTTTGCATTTCATTCTGTTCTAGTTTTCTTGTTATAGTTTAATATGTTTCTTTGGATGTATATATAGTTATTACAATGTTAAACAAAAATCTGCACACAGTCAAGCCATAAGATTTGCTTTTACTACAGAAATCACAAATTTGCAGTGATGTCACTAGCGCAAAGAATTCTGGGTGGGCATATGCAAATCAGTTTAACAAAGAATTACATTTTTGCCTTATTCCATTTTAAACATCGATTCCTTTGAGTCGGTCTTTGATGCATACAACAGCTTTCAAACACAATTTAGGAAAAGATGCAAAGCCAGTAAACCACTCATGGACAGCTGTTTCTAGGTAATGCAAATCAGCATCAGGTTGGTTTTTGAGGTTTGCTATCGAGGCTTGGTAGTGCTTGGGAAGCAAAAACCAAAAAGGTTATGGTGGGGAAAAAAACTGTGATTGAAAACCCCTTCCACCTGAATATATTCATATTAACTCTGATTAGTTTCTCGTCACTGAATCATAACCCATGCTATGGTTTAAGAACAAAACAAAAAAAACTTTGTATTTTAATTTGCATAGTGGGGAGTTTTATTGTGTTCAGTCTCAGCACAAACGTCTTGGCATATACACTGATCAGCCACATCATTAACACTGACAGTGATTATATAATTACAATGGCACCGGTCAAACAGTGGTATATATTAGGCATCAAGTGAACAGTCAGTTCCTGAGTTTCATATGTTGTAAGCAGCACAAATGGGTAAGCAAAACAATATGAACTAACTTTGACAAGCACCAAATAGTGAGGGGTAGACAATTACGTCGGAGCATCTCCAAAGTCGTAAGTATTATGAGGTATGCAGTGGTTAGTAACTACCAAAAGTTGTTTAAGGAAAAATAACCAGAAAACCAGTGCCAAGGTCATGGGTACCCAAAGCTATTTGATACACAGGGGTAGGGAAGATTAGCCTGTCTTGTGAGATAACACAGAAGAGCCACTGTAGTTCAAATGGCTGAAAAACCTAATGCTGGCCTTAATGAAAAGGTGTCAGAACACACAGTGCTTCACAATTTAGTGAGTGCCCTTGATGACCTCTGTCTACCGCCAAAAGAGCCTTCAATTGGACAATGAACTGGACCGTGGGGCAATGGAAGAAGGTTGTCTGGTCTGATGAACCAAGTTTTCTTTTAGATCAGGTGGGTGGCAGGGTGCGTGTGCGTTGTTTGCTTGTGGAAGAAATGGCAGCAGATTACACCACCTACATAGAGATTATTGCAGACCATGTACTACATAATACCCACATAGAGATTGTTGCAGACCACGTGCACACCTTCATGACAATAGTTTACCATGCAGGCAGTGGCCTCTTTCAGCAGGATAATGCACCCTGTCACACTGCAAATATTGTTCAGAAATGATTTGAGGAACATGACAGAGTTCATGGCCTCTAAATATCCAAGATTTC